TTTGGAGGTGATTGAAGTAGTCTTAGCATTGTCTTTCTTCTGTAGGAGAATCACTCTTACCCAGTCCTCCTCTTTGGATTAGGACTTCTCATTTAAAAAAAAATAATCATACTCATTTGTCAAAATAGACTATCTGGATTTTGCCCTTGCCTAGTACAATGCTTATTATAATCATTATAATCTGTACATGATTAGTAAATGCCCTTGAAAGCAGGATGTGGAATGTAGTAGAGCAGAAAAATGCTAAGGAAAAGTGGAAAGTGGCAGAGTGTTTGTGAGGGTAGTAGCTTTTTGGTTTATGCCTATACTTTGCAAATAATGCTTGTTCACAGATGTTAGTACAAGTGTTTCTCCTTTGCTGAATAAACACTGCTTTGTAAATTGTATTAGTGTGACACATGTATTCATTTTGCCATGACCAAAACCAAACATTTTAACACAGTGAGAGTTGTCTTTCTCATCTTTCTCCATGTCATCTAGTGTGAAATGGATGTTAGAATACTTACCGATCAGTTAGATGAGGGCAGTTTAACTTCAGGGTGACAGCTTTACAAGGTTGTAATATTCCTCCACTCAGTGGTTTCACTGACAGTTTGCCTTGCCAGGAAGAAGAAGCTTGCTCTAAGATTTATGTCCTCTTTTCATGTGGGCAAGGCAGTAGTGTCCCAGTCTCTAATTACCCACTAGTTCGTGGGCAGAAGAGGACGTGTAGCTGTTGGAAACATATACTGTCTGGGCAGTTGTTCAAAGACTCCTCCAAGAAGAAGGTAGCAAGCAGGCTGGAGGTGTGACACGGCAGGATCCAGCCATTGGGACAGTTCTGAGCTATATTACAAGCCTCAAATAAGGATCCTTTAGGGGAAAAATCATGCTAGTGATTCTTTTGAGTTGGTAGTTGTAATGAGATGTCACACTCAAAAGCTAAAGGAACTTCTTTACAAGGTTTCTCCAAGGAGATGGACAGTTTTTTTAATGTTAATGTAATCATCACCAGCTGAAATTCTAGCATAGACAGGGGTCTTTGTTCTCGCAAGATCTTGTTCTGCATCTTCAAGTGAAAACTGTATCCATAATTGTAGGCGCATTTTACCTATGAAGTAACAACAAATCTACCAGAAGGTGAGAGGGGTTCTGAAGAGATCCACAGGAGAGAATATTCAGATTCACCAGGCTATATATAACTTGAAAGTCTCACCTAAAAGTTTGAAATTCATGCAGTGGAAAAGGTAGCAAAAAAAAAAAAGTGCATGAGTGGTGTGGTCAGGTCAGGCTATCCACAGCTGCATTGAGGTCTGAATGTGGTTTATGCAGAAGTGTTCAGTGACTGCCAGTCAGCAGATGCAATTATTAGAAAAATGCAGTATATTTTTCTGTGTCTTTATCCTCTGTTTGTCAGTCTTTCTGGTCAGTTACACTTCACAGGTTTTGGGGTGGCATTACTTGTTGAGTTAGTAAGAATCAGGGTGATAGAAGACACAGTTTAATACTTGTGTGCGGAGAGGTCCTTAATTGTCTGTCTGGATGAGATGCACATAGCCTGGTTCTGAAGTCTGTCTTTGAAGACACTGGAGGGAAAAGTAATATGTTAGAGAGATCCTTTTCATATGTTAGAGGGATCCTTTTCATCCTAAGGTAGACTTTCTAAACTGCTGCTTTTTAGACCTGCCGTTTTTTTGCTTGGGTACAGATTGACTAAAGCTCAGGTTGGAGAGATTCTACCTTTTGCCTTGTAAATCAGAGCATCTAATGCAAACCTTTGTGATGAAGAGAATATAGATGATTTTGTATTCACAGAAAATACAGGCAGTTTCAGCACTTGTAATCTCCTAACACCAATCTACCAGATGGGCGAGTACCAGTGTGTAGGCACACTTTACTTTTACTAAGGATTAAGAACCTGGAGTTAAAAAGAGAGGCAAACATCAGTGTTACAGGCTACTGTTAGTTCTGTCTCGATATATTATGTATGCTAAGGATTAAAAATATAGTTAGCATAGTTTTTACAAATGCAGCACGCATCAGCTTTTTGTCAGGTGAAATATGGGGAAGTTACAAAAATAAATGGAATGCATGAATAAGTAGACATGTCAATTAAGCCTAAATATGCTCAACTTAGATATCCTTAGTATGCTTAAGGCACAGAAATTATTCTTCCGCACACAACTGCAAGCATAGAATTTGTAGTATGTTTTAATGTGCAGTGTGATAGCATTATAGTTTCTGCAACTTCTGTATTCAATTTGTCAGCCTTAGTTTGCCTCATTCAGACAGAGGCTTGTATAAACATTGCACTTATTACTTCAAGAGACATGCTGTGTGCACGAATTCAGTTGTATTTCATTACTTTATTGATCAAAATAACTCTGTTTGATATTCCTGTTAACCGTGTAGAGCCAAGATAGCAAAGAAAGTGTGGGTTGTGTTATTTCTTGCTCATCGTTTGAATCCCTTTCTGAATTAAACATATGCAAACTTATTCAGGGAGGAGAGCACCATGAAAAGTCTAATTTACCATATTCAGTTGGTAGTGAAGGAAATAATGCTGCTAATATTTTTAATTCTTGAACTTCAGGTTGAGTTTGCTGGACTGGCAGTTGTACCAAAGAAAGAGAAAAGATACTTATTTCAAAGGGCAGTGATATATGTCAGTACAAGCTGGCTGTGAATAAATTTTGTCTGTAATCCAGCTCAGAGTGAAAAGGAAAATAGGAGAGACACTTCTATTGCAATATCAGCAGCAGCTTCATGTTGGCTTTCATTCTGCGGAAGAAGCCATGGAAGTTGTCCACATGCAGAGTTCTAACTGATATATTTCAGAAGCCAGAGTTTTTCATACAGGGAGTTGATGTTTGCAGCAGCCTAAACTCTGCACTGTTCCATTGGGTCTTTTTGACATATTAGCGTTTTTCCTTTAGATGAGAATTTGTTAGTCAAAAATATCTCTTGGATAAGCTGCTTGTGGTTCTAGTGGGGTTTTTCATTGTGCATAGTCTCTGTCCTTCATGCTGTGCCAGTTATTGAATTCTTGAAAAAACTAATAATGGACTAGAAAATGTAGTCTTCAGTTTTGTTGAGTTCTTAGGTAGAAGCTGATATCCAGATTCAGGGAATGCTGAGCCAGGATCTTCAGAGAAGAGTTTGAACAAAAGTGTGAGACAACTAACACGAGTGTATACAAATAAGACACGAATTTCCAGCTTTGTTTGAAATGAAAGCAGTAACAAGCATTTTGTCCAAGTATTGAAAGATCTTTGTTTTATAAATATGAAGAAAACTGGAGGACACTGACTCTAAATTGCTTAACTGTGGACTGTGCTTTTAGGGAAGGGTGCATTCATTTTGTGGAATTAGCCTTACATTTCAATGTCAACTGTAAAGTGTAACCCTACGCTTAGTGAAACGAGGAGGTAAGGTGACTTGGCTGTAACTGAAAGGCTCCCATGTTATTCTTTGTGATGACATTGGAAACAGGGTGGCTTGGGAAAAGCAGCAAATTGTTCAGATGCCAGAGTTTTAGGGAACAATAGGGAAATTGCGTTTGCTTAGTACATCACATATGCTGTTCAGTTTTTGGATGTGTCTAATATTATGTAAGGCAGGGATTGGCAGCTTTTCAGGAGCGAGGTGCCAGATTGTATTTTTCTTTCACAAATTAGAGGTTAAGAACGCTGGTTGACAACACTGAAATGCGCTGTCAGGCCATGTTTGGAAACGGCTGGCCGTCAGGCAGGCAAGCTGGCGGCCAGCTTGGGCCCGGCATGAGGGCCGGGGCTCTCTGTCCCCACGCTGCCGGAGCCGGGAGCATTCCCAGAGTGCTGGCCCGTGCCAGCGTGTGTGCCTCTGGAAATAGACCCACTTCTTCATTTGCCATGTACGCCAAGGGTTGGGAAATGCAGGCCTGGTAGGAAACTCTTTCCCATGCATCTAAAATTGTCTGTTGTAATTTCTGTTAGTTTGAAGCTTGGCATAAATTTCTTGTGCAAGGTTGGCTTAACGTGCTTCTTCAGGGATATTTTTATAACAGATACTTTGGAGACTGAATGGTCACTGTGAAGCCAGAGCTAATCAATTGACTAGTAATGTCCTCTTTTACATTGCATTTTTTCTAAAATAGGGACAAGCATGAGCAGTTTCACGATACAAGTTTTGAAGAAGTAATATTTGAATCCCATGTGTATATGCAAGAAGATGCTCTTTGTGAAGTGATATGGAATATTATAAAGTCTATATTGGTTTTGCAGGCTGTAGTAATCAAGAAGTAATATAGGATAGTATAAGATAGTAACCTGTAGGCTTACTTTAGAATCTAACCTTTGACAAAGGGCTCTAGCTGGTTTATATATGCTTAATAACTCTGGGGAGATCTGATTATTGGGTAACCTGCGGCCATGTCTGAACAGTGAACAATACTATGCTTTTTTCAAATCTATTGCAAGTGTGCGTGAGTTGGCCTCTTATGTTGTGGTACCATTCATAGAGACACACTGGTGTTGTGTCTAGTGTAACATGTTTCAAGACTGTGCCTGTCAACGCTTGTATCAGAAAGTGTAGCAGGTTCAGAAAGCAACAGTCTGGTTACAGGCAGCTGCCTCTTGATTTTAGAACAAGGCTTATTGTTAAATCAAAAGCTTCCAAATGTAATTATGGCATGAGACAGTTACTGTGTAGATACTCACACAGTACCAGCTCTTCAGCCTGTCAGCATATGGACCATGTTGTCTTTTCCCCATGGTCGTGTGACAGCTAGATCAATATTCGCATTTAGAAAATATAAATGGTTTCTACCATGAAAATATCTGAATGATTTCTATCACTCCATATCGCATCTCAGTTATTTTTGTCATTGCATAGTAAAAATCTAGAATAATTTTCTTCCTTAAATTAAAAAAAGCATATGTGTGACTACTTTGAATTTAGTAACATGTACTAAATAGTCAAAATATTTAATCCTATCATTAATAATACAATTTTTAATGGTATTTCATGTTTTCTTTTCCCAGGAGCTGTGATCATCTCCACTCCTCAAGACGTGGCTTTATTGGATGCGCGCAAAGGAGCTGAAATGTTCAGAAAAGTCCATGTACCTGTAAGCTTCTATATTAAAAATACCAGTAGATTGGTTTTCCAAAATGTAAAAAAACTTCCATATACTGCAATAGGTGATCAAACCATTCAGGAATCACTTGATGAAATTCTTCTTTAAAAAAATATAAAAATTATAATCCATCTTATATCAGTAACAGGGGCTTGACTTGACAGAAAGGAAAGAATTTTCCCAGACTGAGGTCATAATAGTACTTGATTTCTTTTAAATCAATTTCTTTAATCATCTGGAACGGATCAGACTGCTAACCAGAGTATCTTATGAAGTAATTTATGCTTTCCAATTATACTGTCTTACTATAGCCTCATTATATATCCTCTTCAGCACTGTCTGTGTTGGAGCTTAAAATCTAAAATTTCTTGAAATATGGAAAAATCATATATTTGTACATTTTAAGAAGGAAATAGGTGTTTTGGGGGAGATATGTGCATACCTAATGACCACTTTTCCATTTGAAGGGCTCCATGACTGTCATGACAAGTAGAAGGCTGTCTGTATCACTTTGTTTCTTCATGAGATTTATTGCTTATATGGTAGCATGCTTGTCTGGGAAATGCAAAATTTAAAGATATCCACAATATTCATATGAATTGGGAGAAAATATTAAACAGGGTGACATCTTTGACTTGTTATTTTCTATGTGTGCTACAAGTTGCTAAGTAACTGAATGTTATACTCTAGACTTTGTTCATGAAGAGATTAATTTTTCATTTGAAATGTGCAGTTGATGAGAAAATATAAACTGAAATGCTTAGTTATCTTAAACTGTAAAGAAAAAGAGCCATTTACTGTACTTCAAAAAAGGTGTTTTATTGATTACCTGTGTGAAGGCTGCTTCTACTCTTTATTAGAAAGGAAATGTTTTTCATAGCTAGTGCTTTGTTAATTTAAAAAATGCAATGGAAAGCTTGAAGTGACTGCTTTCCCTTTTTGTTTCAAAGTATAAAATAGCTCAACAAAAGAAATACACTGATAAATTCCTGATTGTTAACTATTCCTTAAGTGTATTTGCACCCAAATGAAAGTATAGTAGCATTTATCATTTACTACTGGAAGAAAAGCAAACATATATATAACAGAAGAATAACATACAGAATGTTATGTTTTGATTTTATATGTGGGTTTGCTAAAATGATGCAAAATTATTTTCTTCAAATAAAATTGTGTTCATTAGTACTTTGCTGAATTTTCCTTTCGATTTAATGACAATTTACCAAGATCTTTCTAAGTCCATTTTGTTCAATGCTCTTTGAAAAGAATGACCTCTAAGAAAATCATGCATTCTAGGATGGACTTTGTTTCTATTAATTTGACTAGTGGTATAGATAGGATATTAAATATCATCTATTTTGATTTGTTGGACTTTTCAGATCTTTCTAAATCAAATGAAAAGTCACAGTGAAGCTTTTGCATCAGATACTGAGTTTGAATGCACTTGAACCAGTCATCAGGTCTTACCTTTTTCATGGTGCTGCTTGATTTTATTCTAACCTTATGTGTACGTCAGTACAGATGTGTCATTTACTTCAGTGTTAAAGCAGCTCCTGCCTATGTATTACGTTTCTAAGTGTCAACTAAATCTGAGGATCTAAAGAAAGTTTGGTTATGTAATTTTTGATGGATAACTTCAAACCTGAGGTTTATATCAAAGTAGTGGAATCTGTGGGACTGTGCTAAAATTGCATGCCCTAATTATATAATTGACTAATCTTTTAAATAATCTGATCTTAAAAACTTTAATCTTTAAAAACGCCCTTGCAAAGAGTCTACTTTTCAAAGAAGCAGAGTCCATAGGTTGCTGTGCTCTGAGTCTTTGAGTATGCTTGTTTGTATTTAATGCACTGGAGTCTCTCTCTTGTACATATAAGCATACATACACCACCTTCCCCTCACCCCCGGTCATTAGTTATCAAAGACTCAAACGACACATGTAGTATTCCAACAGTAAAGTCACAGTTGTTGACACTGTCCTTTCCTGCATTAATATTAGAGTAGAATGACTGAAGGAACTAATGAAAAGCATGCAATGAGAGTCAGCGTTACAACCAGGATTACAATGCAAAGGTTTTATTTTCAGTCTTAGGACACAGTCATTAGAAGAGTGCCATCTCTTGTGCAGTGGAGCACGCCTGGTAAGGAAGGCATTTTGCAAAGTGATGCTGAGTCCTATCACAACAAGCTTCAGAATTCTTACCCATTATGTGAGTTTGGTCATTGTTTTCATGCATCCTAGAGGCTTGCTCTGGACAGATGACAAAAAAAAAGTTAATAACTTGAGTATTTAGGAAAAAATTGCCTATTTTTACCTGCTGAAATTGAGTTTAGTTCAGTATGGTTTATCTTATCAGTCGTATCCGTGAAAAAAAAAAGACAGGGTTTTGGTTAAATCTGCAACTTTTCTGGTAGTTTCCTTGAATTGGAAGGTTATGTTGTGGATTTCACAGGTTTCAAAAAACTGCTTCTGTAAACTCAGCTGTGTGTTTCCTTCTAAGATATACTAAAATTGGTTTATTTGGCTATGCACTTACTGGTATTTCTGCAGCGTCCAAAGCACCCAGCCAAGATGATGGCTTCATATTGGAAGCAGACATTAGACCCAAAAATTGCTAGTTGTAAGACAAAAGGTTGGAAGACAGAAATAGTATTGTGCACATTTACTTGAAGCACTGAAACATCAGGTGATTGACTAATGACTATGTAGGAAGTTGGTGGCAGACTGTGGAACTGTAACCCTGACCATGCCAGTCCCTGTCAGGTTGGAGTTGAGCCTCAGCACCGTCTGTCCTTAAGTAAATTGAACGACTTATGTGGGTTTCTCAGGAATTGTCTCATTGTGTAAAGACAGAGGGCTTTTGTTTTCTCACTGTATTTTCTTTAACTTAGGAGATAGTATATCTGGATTTTGGCACGATTTGTTGCGTAATCAAAAGGTTAATTAAGCATAAGAAATATGTAAACATTCAGAAACAGTGTGTGTGCGGATAATTCATAATGAAAAGTTTCTTCATTTCCTGATATTTCTTGATAGATGTCTCTTCCTCGTTTAAAACAATTATTTGACTAAATGAAATTTAGTTCTGTGCATTATATCTATACTTACTTCTGCTACTATAGGTTAGTTCCTGTGTTGCAATGTATCTCATCATGCTAGTTTTTGTATGATTATTGAGCCAAATTTGCTGTGAAAGGAGCTCACTAAGGACTAGAATAGGATTCATGCATACTTAGGAGGTAGTTTGTGTAGACATTAACAGCTGCTTTGAACCTATTCCAGATCTATTATTATTTGAGCAGAGAAATTAGAGTTATTACTGACTTCATTAGCAACACCTATTGCTTTTAAGATTTAAAAGCTCCTGAAGATCATAGTGAACTTTTCCTTCTGTAAATATATCTCCAGAAATACTCATGTTAAAAATACACTTCAGCACGGAAGTTTTTGTGTATTTTTGCACAGATTCTATGTTAAACCGAGTGTTTATAATTGGCAACTTAATATTTTTTTTAAATTTTTCGTATTCCAGAAGAATATTTTATATATTAATAAATATGCACTACTTACTGCCTGACAGGAACAACACTGAAAAAATAGAAATTATAGTGTAATGCTGAAATGTCATTTGCTTTTAGTAAAATTTGGTGAAGACAAAACAGCACAGTGAGTAAGATCTCTCAAACTGAAACAGCATTGGGAATACAGCTGAATCTCATCATTTGCATTAACTGTGGCAGAAGGACTTCTTAGTAGGTTACCAAAGAATTAACAAAACAGCTGTAATAGTCCTTAACTATTCTCAAAACACTAGTAGACCACATACCTTTTTCTTTGATTATGAATTTGCTTAACCATGAATATTGTATGACTACTTTGAGGAGAACAGAAAGTTCAGATGCCAGGATACCTGAAGATTGATTAATTCATTTAAAGTGTAAATGTCAAGTTATCTTTTTTTTCCTGTGCCGCAGAAAATGGCTTCCCTGTATCCCAGTTAAAAAAATATTTTTGTTTTACCAGATAGTATTCCTTCCATTGTTCTGCAGTTTACCAACTCAGTGAAAATTCCATGATTTCAGTTAAAGGAGAGCAGGGTGAATACCTGCCCAGAGGTCATCAGTAGAAGACAGTGGCCGTAGAGAGCCCTTTTTACCATCCCTGCACTTTGTACCCTTAGATATGTAGTATTTCATGTCTCTCTTAAACTAAGAACTGGATGAGAAAATTACATGTAATAATGTGCCAGTAAATAGAAACTTGTTCCTCTTGCTCCTCTGGGAAAGAGTAGAAAATGAGGAAAGTTTGTGGTGTTAAATTGAAAGTGGGTAATTTTTTGCTGTTGTTGCTACTGTTTCTTAAAATATCCCTTGCTTTAAACCCTCTGAAAGTTTTACACAAGTAAAGGAAGACTTTTTAGAAAGTAGTGTGAAACATATTATGGTTGTATTGAAAAAAACCCAGATGATCATCTTTTGATCATTTTTAGCTTAGATCTAAGGAAATTTATTATTTTCAGTTTTGCTGCCCAAAATTGTACACTCATTTAATTAGCTTAATCTTTGTTGTTTGCATTGAACACTGGTATATCCTTTTAGATAAGCTTCGTTAGCATAGTGGATAGGTTACTGTCCTAATAACTAGGCCAGCTTGTTCAAGCACAAAAGTAGAATGCTCAGGGAAATTGAAAAGTAAAAAACCACTACAAAGTAAATAACAGCCTTTTGTACTTGAAAATATGTATTAATATTTTTAAAACTTGGCCATAGTGTGCATGATACATAGATAACTAAATTTTAAATTGAAATATTGTAACATGGAATTTCATAAAGCAGGTCTGCTGATTTGCCAATGAGTACAAGCTTTCACCCTGTAGTGTTTGGCTGCTGTTTTCATCACTTTTGAGGAAAAGTTTACTAGGTGAATAAAAAGAGATCAATGCTATCATTAGCGTTATTGTACACTGTGAAAGATTTTTTGTATGCATGATTTGGCATATTTTCATTTGACATATTTTTCAAGAATGATGTTGAACACCTGGCATCAACAGAAAGGTACCTACTATGTGTGTATTAGATTTTTATGTTGTGGGTTTTGATACTTAGTTTAACATAATTATTTCTTTTGTTTGATCTTTAAAATGTGTTTCTGCTCTTCAGAAGAATAGCAAATCTGGTTCTTTCTGAAAACATTTCCCTACAGGATAACTTACAAAAATATCTTAAAAGCATGTCTGATTGTGTCGTGTCTTGTAATGGTGTGTTTTGGTTTATTACCTGAAACTGCAAATTACAAAGATGTAAAAGACAACATGAAAATTCTTTCAGTATTCTGATTTCAAAAATGAAATATTGCCATGAAGAGTCCTTGGGAAGATAGGCATGTACAAGAGGTACTTTTTGTTACAAATAAGTTTGTTAATCTTTGAGAGGTATAAATGTGAGAAACTTGAAATAATGCACAAATGATAATGCAATTGGAATGACTAATAAGAGTTGATAATCATCTTAATGAGTGTAATATTACTGCTACTTCCCACTATAAACGAGTACTCTTTGTCAATTCTTTGCTGATTCTTCTTTATTGTCAGAGATGAATAATGGAAATACTGATGCTGATTCTCAGGCTTGAATATTCCTTTCTTTTACTTTAACAGGTTTTAGGACTGGTTCAAAATATGAGTGTTTTCCAGTGTCCCAAATGTAAGCACGAGACACACATTTTTGGAGCGAATGGTGTAAGAGATCTAGCAAAAACCCTTGAATTGGATTTTTTAGGTAAGACTATAGAAATGATTTTATTTTTGAAGAAAGATCTAGTGGCATGCATGAGGGAAGCATTAACTGAAATATGGAACTGCATAATCCTAGATTATTCTATATTCAGACAGTGTTCAGTTACAAAAGAAGTAATAACTAAGGTAGTTGAGTGTCACCATTTTTGTATGCTCTGTTCTTTGCCAGGATCATTCTTATAAATAGGATGTGGACTAGATATGAAAATTCTTAAATTGCATCTTAAATCTCTTTTGATTTATAAACAATCCTGAAGATGAATTGTTTTGATATCGATGTGGTATATTACCTGAAATTCATTATGTTATGGATCATACAAAAATTTTTACAAATAACCAAGAATTCTATTTGATCTTCTAAAACAGACCTAAACTCTGTCCATTAATGTCAATAGAAGTTTTCTCATTTATTTCATTTAAATGAAATGAGTTGTTACATATTGAAATAGATGTAGTAATTTGAAACGCAGTCCCTTAAAGCAGTTGGGTTTATGGCCATATAAGATAGCTTGACTCTTGTATGGAAGCAAGCAGACTGTAGTGATTGTATTTAAGTGTTGAGATTAAAAGAATATGCTGAATTGCAAAATGTTGTTTCAAAAGAAAATTTATCTTTATTGAAAACAAAAATTAACCGTGATTAAACAATCTGGCATGCCAATAAGCTAAAATATACATTGATCTTTAAAATACACATTGATATTTTAAAAAGGCATATTTCAACCTGTGCTGTCAGTAAAAAGAAAAAATTACAGAATATAACACAGCGTAATTAAGTTGGTAAATGGAATAATTGCATGTGCTAATGATGTGTTTCCATGTATTACTATAATTATCTTGACGATTTTCCATAGCTAATTCATTAAAAAGAACCAGGAAGCTCACTTAGAAAGATCAACACAGAAACATCAAGGTCTGACATAAACTTAAGATAGCAAGTCAACACATAATTAAAGACATGCTTTTGGGCTATCTTTCAGTTTTCTGAATATATAAAGAGTTGTGATCAGAGCCCAGGGGGACTTCTATAGCCCTGGGTTATGTGGATGGATGCAAATCCTCTGCAAACAGTTGAATCAAACATGCATTTAGATACACAGGCACAAATCATGTGCCATGCCACTGGTCCCATGGATTTTTTTTATTATTCCCCAGGAGGGCAGAACTGATTGTGACTGTATTTAATTAGGAATGATGTGAAAAATTTACATGTTTCGCAAGGAATGGATGAGATGTATGAAGAAAACCATCGTGAAATTTACTTTCAAACTGTCAGTGAAAGATCAGACTGAAATTAATACCCCAAGGCTTAAATTTAGAATTATAGTATGTGATCTGATTAGTATGCTCCTCCTTCCAGGGATGACCATTATATAATAACACCGTATGGTATTACAAAAATTACTGCTTACGGATTTTACATTAATCTATCCCAAATGGAAGTTGTATCCTGGTGTTACTTGAATTCTGCCCCAAAGCCTTGAGAACTTATTTTATATATATATATATATATATATATATATATATATATTTATTTTTAAAGTTAGTATTTCTAAATTTATTTTGCTTATATTTCGCAATACCTGTGGCTGTTCTGTTTGTTCAGCTAAGCACCTAGTCCTCTTGTGAAACCTGACAAGGTTTTAGTTTCCTTGATAAAATCTGATAAATTCTTCAAGCTAACTGTGCAGGATAGAAAAGTATTTTCCTTTTAGTTGCTCAGAATCGGCTGCCTTTAATAATACTGAATACCTCCTTTATTTTGTTTGGGACAGAAGACAATTTGCAGTTTCCAGTACATCTTTGAGTGTATTTATTTGATATACTTTTGATTGCCTCGTATTTTTGTTGTTCCCTAAAGGAAAGTGTACCAAAGTTTGTGAGAGAGACTTTGTGCTGCGGATTGTTTCTCTCCCTGTCTCTGAAATTCCCCGATTTTGCTTTTTTAAAAGTTTGATAACCATAACTGTGACCAGAAAGCTGTACCATTGATATACATAACACTTAAGATGATGATTTCTGTACAATTCCATCCTGACTTTTGCACTTCCTCACATTTAAAAATGTATCTGCTAGTAGAACCAGCATAAAATGACTCTCACATTTTAAAAATTATTTTTGTTTTAACTTCATACAATAAATTCAAATTATTCTCAGCACTCACCCTTTGTTTGCAGTCAGCAATAATTGTTAGTATCAAAATAACGTACAGTGGCAAGTTCCCATCGCATTCTGTAGTGAAGTGCAAACACTTCATCTTCCTCAAGCCAAACAACACCCAAACAACTGTGTAGATGCTTTTGCTGTCTTTATGCTTTTGCTTAATTTATAAGTTTTTGATTTTTTAAAAAAATTAAGATTGCATTTTGCTTTATATTCTGACTTGCATGTTTTCTCATACAAGTTCTGTTATGCCTCTGTAGAATCAGCACATCTTTATAAGTATGAGGAAGAGAGAGGCTGCCATTTTGTAGTAGGGCAGTTCTTTTTGTAATTCTCTGAGATTGTTACTATTTTTTCATTAACAGAACATCTTGGGGAAAAGGTGAAGATTAGTTTCTGCATAAAACAATGGTAGGAACTGACTTCTGGGAGATGTACAAAGTTACTGTTATTCTATTAAAAACATTAAAGGTTAAAAAAAAAACCTTTCAAAGGACCCCCTAAATATATTTTTGAATGAATGAATAAACAGACTTTTATGCCTAAAGAAATTTATTTGTGACAAACAAATAAACAATTAAATTTGAAATGGACCACAGTCATCATAAGTAACAAGTTCAGGTTCTTCAGAGATTCAACTGAGTAAAGCCACAGCTTTTGTGTTTGCTATTTGGGTTTTTGTTTGTATTCCTGCTTGCTTTCAGTTCTGTTTTTTTAATCTCTTAAACTGTGTCAATTTTCAGTCAGTTTTTTTTAATATTTCTTTTTCTGACTACATTGAACTTCAGTAATTTACACTGAGCTTAATTTGGGTTAAATAAAGGTTGCTAAAGTGTATCAATTAAACTGATATATTTCTGAGACCAGTCAAGATTGAACTAAGGTAAGCTGTTCTGTCTACATCCATCCATGATGTAAAATATATTTGTATCTTCCATTAAAAGAAAGTTGGTCTTCAGTTCACCTCATAATAATCTATGTAGCAATGAACTAAACATGGGAACTTCAAATTTTCTTTAACACTGAAAAATTTATTTCAGAAAGTTATGTTTCAGAATAGAACAGGGCTGCTAACTGATTCTCCCTTAGTGTTCCTTTCCTGTCTGACAGTTCCCTACTCGTTAGAAAAGCAGAATACAAAGAAGATTTCCATTGGAAAGAAAATTGAACTGAATAGTTGTCTTACCTTTTAATTGGATCCAAGGCCTAATAAGGACAGTAACAAATGTTATTATTTGGAAATTAAGTATTCAAAGAAGTCTTTGAACAGTGATTAAAGTCTTAAAACAGCACTGAAAAGAATACACAATGAGGAGATAGGCTGAACAGTAAGTTGCATGGTGAACATTTGCCTAACACTCAAGCAAGTTTTTTAACATATACAAAATAATTTTTATTTCAGTCTGTGTTTTTCTGTGAATTCAAGGCAAAAAAGCAAACTGCCTTCTCTAATAAATGATTTCAAAATATAGTCCTTCCTATTCAGAGAATGAAAAATCCAGAATATGTTTGACATCAATCATTATACGTGTACAGAAACTGTACTGCAGCCTATTATAATTTTAAATGCTAATTTTTTGAGATTAAGTAATTCAAAGAATATACTGAACTGGAATTTGATTTTAAGTTGCTTTAGGGCTATTTTAGTGAACCATTTGAAGAAATATTAGGTCTTCACATATGTGTGTCTTGGTCTTTTTGACACAGGAGACATTCCACTGCATGTTAATATACGGGAGATGTGTGATTCAGGACAGCCTGTTGTGGTCTCGCAGCCTCATAGTGATGCCGTAAGTTTGGTGCACTGCACTTAAAACAATAAAAAGCCCTTCTCCAAAAGCAAATAGAGAGTGCTTCTTGTCATTGCTGTTTGAGAAGAAATGTGTACTGGAATGTAACTTAGGGAAATAAAGTAAAAGGGTTAGTGTCATCGAGTAAGTCAAGCCCTTCATTTTGGAATGCTGGTCATCTGTTCTGCCTCTGTGGGTTTGGTTTTGTTTAATTAGTCTGAATCATTCAGAAAAGCGAAGATTTAATCCAGATTCTGGCATGCCAAGAAGGGGAAGGTCAGTGTCAAGCCTCATGAGACCTTGCAACTAATGTAGGTGCTCTAAAACTGTCAGTTTGAGCCTTTGGTACTTGAACCTGGAAACTGTCAAAGGGTCCTATCCAAAGATGTTTGTAACAAAACCTGTGTGTTGTCAGTACCTGGGTTGTTTTCAGCAGGAAGTGGAGCAATTTACACACAAGAAGAAACGGATTTTTCAGTGCATTTACCATAACATTTTATTGCCAAAGGAAAATACGAGTTATTGAAGTGGTGGAAGTCAAATATGCAAGTCTGCAAAGAAAAGCAGTTGAACATATAAAACTTCATTAACACTGATAGACTAAGATTTTCCTGGCTAGTATTTTCTTTCTCCTCTGCTGGAGTTTGTCTGCCAAGCTCCACAGGGCAGGGTGTTGTCTGCCACATTGTGTTTGTACAGTATATGGCATGATGCAGCCTCACTCTTAACTGTTGCTTAGATGTTACCATAAAAAAAAAAAAAAAAAAAAAGTGATTAATGCTGATAATAGATGATGGAGTCAATTAGGGATAAGATAGAATGTACCTGTGGTACATTCTAATATCAGTAACCTTTCTAATACCATGATTGCTAGGTGCACGCTGCGGTATTTTTTTTTCCTTCCCACACTTTTAAAAGAAAAAAAACAAAGGGGGATTAACAGTGTTAATCCAGTGTTATTAACATACTGATTGAGATTCCAGAGGAACAGTGTCAGTCTTAAAATTGTAATACATCATTTTGTTTTGAAAGAGAAGCAACAGCACTATGACATGTTGATTTCTAATTGAATGCAATATTTTTGCATTTTGAGCAAGGCCTATGCTGATCCTCTGTGGAATAATATAGTGATCTTGAGACTAGATCCTTGTGGAAAGGAATCATTATAATCTGTATGGTAGTTTCTATCTGAAAAGTTTGATCGGCACTGTGCAGGTTTGAGTAGATGCATGGCTTAGCTCGAAGTTGAAGCAGAACAACTGAGCAAACTAAGATGGAAGGCTCACAGTATCTGAAATCTATAATAACCAAGAGTCTGTAGCCTGCAGGACTATCAATCTAAAATTCAGACTTAGGATAGCATTCTGAAAATTAAAAAAGACAAGAAAGTCTGTTGTGTTGCCATCTGTTCCTCCTTGGACTATGTTCCTGGTAACGAAAGGAGGGGTTATAAGCACCATTTGTGGCAATTAAGTTAAATATGAAGAGGAATAAAGATTGACAAATATGTGTGACACTGGGGAAAACTTTTAATATTCTCTGCCACTGTGTCTGTGAGATAATAATTCTCAGAGAATGAGGGTTTTTTTAGATGTCACTAATCTCTACAGAATGAAAAAGAATTTCCCTTTATCCCTGGTTTGCTTCTCATTTGAAAGACAGAGAAATTTATTGTTGTTCACTTACTTTTTGAAAGAAAAATTAAATCCTTATCACATAACTGATGGTGGGAGAGGTTATATAAGGTCAGATTCTAATCTTTAATACATGACACCCATCACCATGTTTCTTAAATAAACTAAAATTGTGGCTATTCATGCATGAACAATCACAGTTTTTCAGATAGAGAACAATGTACTCAGAGCTGCTGAAATTATCTCTGCTCTCGTCCCTTAAATTTACAGCATGTTTTTATTATAAAATTCTGTGCCGTTTTTGTTAGAGCACACTTACAAATCAAATACAGAATCATAGAACTGAAATAATACCTAACAGATTCAAACAGTGGGGAATAAAGATAGTGATTGACTTTTCAGAAACCCAGCATGCTGTCACACCTTCTACGCTCTGTCAAGACTAGAATAAAGGGTGTTTCTAAAATATGTTAGCTAATACTTTTTTTTGCTTACACACCTGCCATGGGGTTCAACTTGTCTTGCTGATATGTAAAAGTATAGCTCTCATTCTACACCAGAATTTGAAAATGTGTAAGCAAACTTGTCTTTATTAGTTATTTTAAAGCTTAGATGTAATTGGTGGAAACGGGAAGTTTCCTTTTCACAACTAGCAGGGAAATACTAACAACTAAACCAAACCTTCCAGAAAAAAGAAAATTATTTGTAGAATTGTGCATGTGTGAACTTAAAGAGTTCTTCCTTGGGGAAGGCACAGAATATATGAGTTTCCTACTTATGGAAAGGGCTGAAAAGCTAAAGGATGTGAGGGTTTAATGGCTGGATTTCTCTTCTGGTGAAGCTTGAGACAGTCCCCATGGAGAAATAAACAGTGTTGGTAAAACTATTTTGCTCTTGTCTGTGTTAATGTTTCTGTCAGCTTAGTTGTTTAAATTGTGACTTTTTTCAAACCCTCTTCATTTGCAAAACTTTGTTATGTGCTGTAGAAATTGGAATATTGCTATACTCACATGTTAGCCTAAATGACAGGGGCTAGCCTAAGAAAGAGAGCAGACACACCACAACAGTGTCCTTTACAAGAAGCTAATAATTTCTTAGTTTAATCAACAGTGAAGACTTACCAGACCTTTCTGGAGATAATTGAGAGTCTTGGGAGGATTTTCCTCTTCCATCAAGCAGTGGAGGTGGATTGGCTGACTAGGGCTTCATTTTTTTGCTCACCCAAATGTATGAGAGAGTCTCTAGACAACAGAAGCTAGTAAAGGAAAATCAGGAACATGGCTAAAATGGTAGAATAGGAAAAACTGTAGGGAAAACAAATGAATAATTGCTGAAATCAGGTGGCATTGATCATGCTTAGATGTAGGCAAACCTCCTAGGGATCATGAGAAGGAACCAGCAGCAAAAGAGGTGCTTGAAAGGGGCATCATGAAACTTGTGGATAAGAGGGCTAGTAAGAGAAGTCATGAAAGAATGAAGTTTAAGTTTCAGCTTCTTTCCCTTCTCCATTATTAAAGATACAGTGAACCCTCATGGCAGAAAGTATAAAGAGGCTGACTGTTTTTGAAAAAAACCCCAAATGACAGGAAACTTGTAATGGTCAATTAGTTCACATAATCACAGAATCATTCAGGTTGGAAAGACCCTTGGGATCGTCGAGCCCAACCCTCAGCCCTACTCTACAAAGTTCTCCTCCACACCATATCCCCCAACAACTCATCCAAACGACCCTTAAACACATCCAGGGATGGTGACTCCACCACCTCCCTGGGCAGCCTGTTCCACTGTCTGACCACTCTTACTGTGAAAATTTTTTTCCTAATGTCCAGTCTAAACCTCCCCTGTTGCAGTTTAAAGCCATTCCCTCTTCTATCACTGATTACCTGTGAGAAGAGACCAGCACCAACCTCTCTACAATGTTCTTTCTGGTAGCTGTAGAGAGTGATGAGGTCTCCCCTTAGCCTTCTCCTTCTCAAACTAAACAGTCCCAGTTCCTTCAATCCTTAGTGTTTTCTTGCCCATACTGTTTTGGAAAACATTTGCAGTCTATTAAGGAAAAATACTTTGAGTTCACCCTCCTGTTCTATAAAAGTCAAGTAGGATATATTGGAAAAGCAGGGGAAGGTGAAGGGAAGCAAACTCAGTGAATCATATATAGCTTAGAGTGTTGGATCCCCAGATCACACAGCCTGTGCAGTATGCACAAACTTACGTGCAGTGTAGTGAGCAATTTATATCTTGGGTAGGAAAAAGAGCCAAACTTGTCCTGGTGCAAAGAAAGCAGGGCCTGTGGCTGGAATGTCATCCTATCCAGCTTGTGATAAAGGAGCTCAGTATATGATGCAAACCCCACATACTTCTTGGGGGAGGTTCTGTTACTGTCCAGTTCACATTTAACAGTGGGAGATTTTTTCAGCCCTCTTGCAGATTACATATAGTCATATGTACTGGTGAAGGATTTTGAGGCCAGTAAATTGCACACAGCTCTATAAAGGGAGAAAAAAAGCCTAGTCAAGTGGAAAGCAGGGGCATGAGGCATCAGCAATCTGACATAACAGAGGAGAGTAATTCTGGTTAAAAATCTCTTTTCAATTAAATTAGAAATGTTACAGACCTTACTGTGGTATTATTCAAAGAGACAGGTGGAATTTATATTCAGAAAGACTTTTTTTCTAGAACTGTATGAAAGGGTGATGTGTGAGAAGGGTAAAAATGTACAATCTTTTAAAGCCTGCAAGAAATATTTGGAGAAAAATTGAAGCAGTGGTAGCAAATAATGTTTGCTGCTGTTTAGCTGTCATCAGTAATTCCATTTAAAGTGTGATCTCTCCAGAGTGTGATATCTTTAAAAAAAAGGCAAACCCCAAAGAAGGCTGCATGATGTGATTTATAATATGTCTTATCGTCGAGGCTTCCTTTGAATGGTCGCAGTAACATTTGGTATGTGTATGTTTGAATCCTTCATTCAGGGTGTAGATAGTACAATGCATCATCACACCCTCATTTGTGCTTTATTCTGCTGAAGAAAATGCTGAGTGGTGGAATAGTCTGTTTGAAGGATGTTACTATATTACATTTGAATTGCTCTGTTCTACTTAACCATGTTTTCTGGTCAAGATGTCTTTTTTTGATGTACGTAATGGCACCTGAGTGATGTACATGCTTAATGGCACCTTGAGGCTAGCAGTGTTTCCAGATGAGGCTCCCTCGGAGGACAGCTTGGCTTCTGCAGCTGCTCATATATAGGATTAACAGGAAATTTCTCACAAGCAGTAAGGATTTTTTTTTTTTAGGTATTGGATTCAGGAAGCATCCAGTTTACTTACCCATCTCCTCCATTTCATGTTGTAATTTATGGATTGACTT